CTTCTGAACAGCACAGAGGGGAAGATCGATAAGTGAGTTCAGTTTTCAGTTTCTGTTTGGATTAAATCAGCCTCCTGTGTTTATTCAGTGAAACGAAGCTACGATTAAATACTCATGTGGTTTCCATTGCGCTGCTGTGTGCACTCTGCCGTCATCATCACAGAGTTGACACCTGAGTAATTGTTCCTTCATCTTCAGCTACACGATTTCTAAATAAATCCATCGCTGCAAAGCCGAAAACACGACTGTTTCTTGGCTTGTGAAAGTCGGACATTTTGGAGATGGGACAGTTTTCACAGGTCGGAAAAAGATCAAGAAAAAGTTGCATCCTCCTGTCCTCAAGTAACTGCTCTCTGGTGTTGGAATCACTAGAAATAAATCGGAGGTGTTTTGGATTTAGTGATGATTAATGCAGCTGTAAAAACCAGAGTTTGAGACCACATCCTCTAAACCGTCAGAGTTACATCAGTGTTGTTCATGTTGTTCTGTCTCCAGAGTCCTGATGCGAAACCTGTTCTTGGGATACTTCCACACACCTAAAACCAAACGTGCTGACGTGCTGAGGCTCATGGGAAGTGTTCTGGGACTGAGCCGAGAAGACGTTGAGAAGGTGAGAGATTTCTTTTCTCAGTTTTTGACTGTAAAATTATACTTCAGTGATACGGTCAGTGAGTGACGTGACATGTTACCTGACTAATAAATCCAAAAATTCCATCTCTGCCTTGTGTGGTTAAACTTGAATGCTGGTATTTTGTTCCTTTTTCCATTTTGTATGTACAAACATGTATTTATTTTATATTTGTATATGTGAATATCCAATAAAATGTACTAACTTAAGAAGTACAGGTGTTGGACAACATAATGGAAATAAAACAATAAAAGCAGTTAAGAAAACTGCCAAGATTGTGAATTAGCGTAAAGACTGAATGGGAATGTGAGAAAACACCAAACCTGACACTGTCTGAAAATAAAAAAACACCGGCTTCTCTAAAGCGCAGTAATTAAAACAGTATTACTTGTTTTTTACATCTTGTATGAATGTTGTATTGTATTAAGTTGTGGTTTTATAGGAGTCAAGTTCTGGTCTGAATCAAGTTTTCATGGAAATAATATGTTTGTAACTTAGAGTAACTCACCATCCACCAGTGGAGTAAGTACAGTTTAATATCTGACTAAGTTCTTTACCCTGACTGTAAGACAACAGGCCCTTTTTTCTCTTTTTGAAATTGATTATTTAAACAAGTTCGTCCGGAGTCATCAACTAGAAAACTTGTTGTATGACAGTTCCTTTTAACTGTCGGAGCTCAGCCCTGAAAGAGAAAGCATTTCCTTATGCAGATCTTCTGGAAAGAGCCCTGTGGGACTCCATCCAGCGATTCCAAAGTAACTTACCCAACACTCTTAAAGGAAAACAGATACAGTGTTAGAGGCAAATGTGCTTACAACTCCTCAGAAGAGCCTTTTTTTAATTGTGTTGGAGGTCATCTTGCCCTCAGCTCCTGTTAAATGCTTTTTAAATTTTCCACTCAACTCGCGTTAACAGCTGCCAAGTGTCCCACAAAGTCCGCCACCATTTCAGAATCGGCCTCTGGGAAGCAGCTCTTCACTCCCACTCTAGTGCGTACTAATCCAAAGCTGGGACGCTTACGCTCTATGTATCGGGTCGGTCCAGCTGAATCTTGTCAGGCAGATGACGCTGGTGATTAGGGAGTATGAATGACAGTGAGTTATAAAGCCACATGTTTGTTGTAGGAGTGAGGGCCGTCAGCAAAGACACAGAGCAGCCGGTGGATGAGTTTAACGGCCGAGCGGGTCCACAAAATCATTTTCCAGAGAGTGGTGGAAACCAGGAGCAATTAAAACTGAAATAATCTGACCGCTCTTCTGTGTCAACTCTTCACAAAGAGTCTCAGATGAAACCACAATTTTGTTCTTGGCCAAGTTAGTATAAATAACTTCTGTCGTTGATTTTATCATCAAATATTTGGAGTCTGAGATGTTTTGGAGACTTTGCTTCCTGTGAAAATTCCTTAACCTTTGTCTGCACTTCCTTACTTCTCATCTTCGTCCGTGCAGATGTTGGAGGACGACGGACGACACGGTGTCACCGGGTGGATGTCGAGCTGGCTGGGAAGCAGAGGAGCACAAAGTGTCCCAAACACTCCGAACAGGCCCAACGGTGCTCAAGCACTCAACTCGGTAGGAGACTCCTACAAGTTCTTTTACAAAAGAGACACAGTTTGTATTTGATGTCCTTAATTCTAACGTTAACACAGAGGAGTGCACATGTAGAATATATTTATATATATATATATATATATCAGCAAATCGTCTCTGCACATACAGAGGAACAAAGTATTTACAAGATGCTGAACGAAAAGGAAAGATGATGTACACACTAACAATGACAAAAAAGAATAAATGAAATAAATAAAAGTATACTTTAAAAGATTTGCCAACTATAAACAAAGATTCCTGAAGCTACAGGATTACTCACAGTGTCATTTATTGTTGTTACACAGGCAGAGAGTGTTGGAACAAGATTAATTCAAACGTAAACTGAGTCAGAGTCGTCAGAGGCAGTTTGGGGTTCAGTATCTTGCTCGAGGACATTTTGACACGCAGACTGGAGGATTTAGGGATTTAACCACCGACCTTCTGGTTAGTGGACAACCCTCTCTGCCTCCTGAGTCCCCACAACCTTTGCAGCAAGAGAGTGAAGTGAAAACCTTTTCAAAAAGTTCTTTCTTCAGATTTGAAGGGTTGTGCTCTGCGGAAGTATCCTTGAGCAAGACCCAGATTTCTTACCCGGATGTTATTGTGAAACTCCCTCTTCACTCTGAGTCCAGAGGATATTTACTCTGTTTGGATCAGTGGAATATCTCAGCAGTGCAGTTACACTACACACTGACCCGTCTCTTTCAGTCCTTCTCAGAAATGTTCGTTAAGTTCCTGGAGATGGAGTCGACTCCCTCGCTGCCGGCACCGAGGCTCCCAGTCCATGACATCAAGACTCTGAGTGCCCCGCCCCCGAGAAGAACCGGTGCTGCTGCTTCCAGCAACATCGCAGGTAAACGACTCCTCTGGGAAAATCCGCCGCCAGGATGTTTGTTCCTCACATGTTCTTGATCATGTCAGACGGGAGTTGTTGCTCCTTTTCTTACACCCTCAAAAAGTATCAAACCTTATTTAAACTCGAGCCTCTCTCCCCTCAGGAGCTGCGACAGCCAGCAAGCGATCCGGCGAGTCCAATCCTTTCCTGGCCCCTCGCTCGGCGGCGGTGCCTCTGCTCGCTGGTTCCAGCTCTGGCGGCTCAGGAGGTCACCTGCTGATGAAGCCCATCTCTGAGGCCCTGCCCTCCTTCACACCCGTGCCGGTCTCAGCAGAGGCCAGTGCTGGAGCTGTGCTCAAAGACTTGTTAAAGCAGTGATCGCTCCACTAACGAGTGCCAGATAGACGTCTTGATTCATCCAAGTAGTTTTGCACAACACAGAGTCTGGAATATTTGAGCAGGTCTGCTACTTAATATCTGCTCCTTTTTATTTCCTGCAAAAATTAAATGATCAGATCGTTGATAAAGGTTTAATATTCCCTTCTGGGGGGTATTCATTCTTTTCAGTTGTAGTAGTATTGTTCTATGCAACACATCAGTACACGTATTTCTTATATTCTACTTTACTGCGAGGTGTTGAAATGATCACAGACGGGACTCTGCATGCTAATATGGTGCATGATGAGAACGTGTTCACGATGTGGGTGATTCAGAGTGAGTTTCTATTTTCACAGAAACTGTCCTTTTTACGTTTTTATTCATTGTTCTGAACACAAGTGACCTTGTAAGCTCACTGTGTGCAGTTCAATACAAGCGAGTTGAGTTTAATCATCACCTCTGTTTGCAAGAGGAACAAAACTCTCCTGTCCTCCACTTTTCATCCTTTAACTGATTTTTGTTTGTCTTTTTGAATTTTTTTCTTTTTCAGCATCGAGTGAACTGTTTCTGATCCAAATTCTCTCTGGCAGCCGCCTGTGCAGAGATTTATGTGGTTCAGTGCATCTGTTAAAACCATAAAGACAATTTTTTTTTTTTGTTGCTAGATCGTGTCCTCTCCAGACAGTCAGACTGTGATATGCAACAAGCGTTGTAATTATGGCTGCAACTGCTGACTGTGGTTGATCAGAGGCTTGAGACTGCTCTTGAGTTTAAGTGCAGTACTATTATATAGTTATATATATGTACATGGGTGGCGTATTTCCTATTTATAGGCACCAAGAATGTTCTGGGGGTAAAGTGCCTGCATTTCTTTTTGCTAATTAGATAGTTGTAAAATTGGGATTGTAAATGATTGATATAAATATATATATATTTACAAAATGTAAAAAAAACCTGCACATTTAAAAAGTTTTACCTGCTCAGAGTCGGCCAACTTTAAGGTGAGCCGCTCTACATTTTTGTATAGACATCAGTCGGCCTGCAGAAGGAATGTTACAGGGTTTTCTTTTCCAGATTGATAAAAATGTACAAACTGTAAATCCTCACTGTGGAGAAGAATTTTTCGAATCTGAAACCCGGAGGTGTCAAAAGAAACGGATTTGGATTAAGTTGAACTTGGATGATCTTCAGCTGAGGTCGGAACCTGTGGCTTGATTGGAACTTCAAAATCAAATAAAAAGTTCTGCTGACCCTTTTTTCCTGGTGTTGGTTTTTGTCATTTCTCTCTGCAGCGCGCCTTCATGCAAACCAGATGTGGCTACTACCGCGTGGATCTCTTGCGTTGGTCGCGCCAGATGTTCAGAGTTATGGGAGGGGGGGGGCTGTTTGTATCTTTGGAAAACAGACTGTGTGTGTGTGTTTTATGCCTTTCTGCCCCCCCCCAACAGCTCAGGAGCATCCCCCTGTAGAAGTGAGTGTGGGGCCACGGTCTCTGGCTGGAGGGGGGGGGGGGCTGTCTCTAAGTGATTGAATCCAGCTGTTGTGGAAGTGCGCGGAGGGGGCTCGTCAATTTGCATTGCTAAATAATCCGCGGAGCCGACAAGAGCGGAGCAGTCCATTTTGAGAAGCCGTCCTCCCTGCAACACTCCGGTCGATGCACCGAAGCCTCAGCTCGAGCTCGCTGCGCTTGATGAAAACCTGGTGTCGGCCCTGTGCGTAAAGACGCGTAAGTTGGAGGAGGTGGTGAGAGCCCTGCTGGGGAGGAGAGGGGATTTAGGGAGAACTCGCGGGTCGCCTGAGTCTTTCCTCTCGAGAGCTCAATACAAACCATGCTCTTTGAAATACGCAGCTTCAGGTTTTGCTCTTCTGCAAGGTGGGTGGACTTCATCTTTTTTTTTTTCTTATTGAATCGACGCTTATCTGTTTTCTGCTGAACAGAGTTTTTCCTCTGCGCGGTTTTAAAAACGTGCTTGTGCCTCCCTGCAGGATGTTGGCAGCTCTGGTGTGTGTTCTGCTCTGTATCCAGCCTGGACACGGACAGGTAACACAACACCTTCCTCCGTCTGAGTCACGTTTTCAGGGTGATTGGTTCATGTCCACCGAGGTCATGGAGTGTTGTGTGGTTCTGATGTTAAGAGCTTTAATGATCAGAAACGGATGAAAAGTTGCGAGGAGGAGGGGAGGGGAGAGCATGCTTCTTAAAATGATCACATCACATTTGTGCTCATTGCATTTATAATGAATCATGTTGCAGATTTTTAGTTTTATTTCTCTTGTTTTATTGTAATGGCCCCTGATGACTTGAATATGTGAATTATTCCACAGGCCTGCACAGAAGGGTTTGCATATGACCGCAGGGCAAGACAGTGTATAGGTGAGTGACATGACCTCTACTGTCTTCTAATGGTAAAAGTAAAATAAATTTTCCGTCATATATCTACAAAATGTATCTAGAGTGGGGAGAAAAACAGTAAAGTGTGAACTTTGATAAGTTTTAACAGAGAAAAGTGAATGAATAAGACGCCCACAGATGTTGTGGATGCAGGAATGTCCTTATCAGTGCATCGCCTTGTCCTCCAGATGTGGATGAGTGCCGTACTCTGCCAGATGCTTGCCGAGGAGACATGCGCTGTGTGAACCAGAACGGAGGCTACCTGTGCATCCCGAGGACCCTGTACAACCAGCCGTACCGACAAGAGACCCCGGTCCTGCCAGAGCCCGCTTACCCGGACACATCGGTGGGATTCTCAGACTCCTTCCTCCCCGCTCCCAGGTCTGTGGAGCCCAGCTACCCCAGAGTGGGGAGCACAGCACAGTGCCTCCTGGGATATACTCCTGCAGAGGATGGCACCTGTAATGGTGAGTCAGTGTCCACAGACAGATCCTTTAAATAACAATATAAACTTCCTAAAATGTTCAGAAGTAGTTTAAAGATTTACTAAGTAAAGCTACTTGTTCTGCAGAGGATGGAGATGCTATAATTAAGTTTTTCATTCAGATCCATTTCTATAAAAGCAGCATTGAGCTGATTAACACTGAATCCAGTGCAGTGGTTTAATGGAGGTTCCAGTCTGAGGGTTTGTGTCCTTTCCAAAGGGTTGAGGAGTAATTAGAGCTCCTGAGATGATTAACGAGGCAGGAAAGAAGAAAAACAGAGAGGAATTAGTATTTTCTCCTCAATAAGATATTTTTACTTTGTCGGGTTTCATTTAAATGAAACCATCTGAAATCAAAAGTTGAGACGGGAAATGTGTCCTTGACGGACCTGCTAACATCATCATGCAGAACGAGCCACAACTGGATGAATGTTTTTAATGTAAAACTTTCATCTGGGAAGTGACTCAACTCCTAAATGCTGGAAAAAAACTATGTTCTGCTGAAATGTAATAAAGGTATACATTGTCAGAAAACTGAAATACTGAGTAAAGTACAAAGAAAGGTACAGATGTTCGTATAAATACTTACTGTGTACTACTCCTCGTACCCATGTGATTTGCTTTAACCTCCTCAGATGCTCACATGGTCCTGATTTACTGCTTCGGGATAATTGAACTGCAAATCAAATATAAGACAAATGCACGAACATTCATTTACATCCTGTCGTGTCACAGAATTCACTTCTCGTGTCTTTGAAACAGATTTAAAATTTGTTACAGAACCAAAGTCTGTTTTTGTTCCTTCGAAGTTCTGCTCATTGTTTGCAGTTGTTTTCTTTCAGCAGCGTCACAACGGGTCAGCGTGTTCATCAGGTCACTGAGTGTCCCACAGTGTCTCTTTGTAGCCTGTTTATCACTGGATGCACGTTTCACCGTTTGTTGAGTTCAGAGTCATTTTTCTGTCTCAAATCGTTTTTTATTTGACTTCCAGGGACCTCAGGATGTGAAAACACATATCAAAACACACAACTGAAAAACTTCAAGAAAGATAAGATTTAGTTTAAGATCAGATCAGTCGATCAAAGATCGATCAATGTTGTTACATGTCTTTCTGATGGGAGATGGACCAACAGCTACTCTCAGATTTATCTTCAAAACCATTTTGAAAACATTTTAATGTGCAGCTGCTTGTAAGAGATGCAAGCGCGGAGAGTGTGTCCTCTGCTGCAGCTGTTGTGTGGTTTCTCGTCTCCGCTGAATCTCCGCAGTGAGTGGAAGTTGTGAAGCCACCACCTGATGTTACAGTGAACCTATAGATGGACGAGAGGACACGGGGGGAAATGAATAAGTGGTCAGAAATTCAGAGCCAAGTCCACGGAGATGGTGATTTAACTCCAGGGAAGTGCATGAATCCACTGGATCACAGGGACGAATTATTTTGAGGCTCTTGGTTTTAAGCTTGTCTGCCGTCACCCAGCCAGAGCTCCAGGCCCTCAAACTACTCTCAGGGAGGAAACATCGCAGCCACAAGAGACTCCAGCTGTCAGATAAACACTTAATGTCTGATGTCCCCCCCCCCCCCCC